GACAACAGCAAAGTGAATGAGATCAAAACAGATGAAACTTAAATCCAAACTTGAATAAGAAACTGCAGAGGCTATGATTGTTGTGCTCTGTTACCTTGTCTCCAGAAAAGCTTGTCTTCTCCTCAGAATTCTGTTCACCTCTACCTTGGAGGCAGCATGAGTATGACCTTTTCACAATTAGAGAGCCTCTCAGAAACCCATCATGTTCAGGAATTCAAAATCCTTAGCCTGAGCTTCTAGATCATAACAAAGTTTAGAAACAATATGATCCATATAGTTATTTCTTAATTCCCCAACTTTCCATGGAATTACAACAGTCAGTTTTAGACAGAATAGGCCTTGGAGCTAACCCTTCCATCACAGAAAGAGACTGACACCAGTCTCAACACAATCCATGCTTGCAATTTCTTCTTCTCTCATAGCTTCAAGTTTGTCACACATCCTACATCCAGATACTAAACACATGTAGCCATGTGGAAGAGTACTTATGAAGGCATGCGGGGAAAACACCTGTCCCAGGACTGTGGGACATGCAACAATGGTGTTTATCCTCAGCCATGCTTTCCCTCATCTGGCATGAAATACTTGTGCTTTGGAAGCCAAAAGAAGGGTCTATAATATGTGCATCATGGTCCTTGCCTGCCAAGCTTATTTCTCTGGAAAGTAAGATAATACACAAACAAGTGAAAAGAATTAAAGAATATTACAGGCTAAAATATAATTAATTTGAAAGCACTAGACTCTATTCATCATGCGTCTGTGAAGATCCTTCATGATTCATGTTCCATACTAAAACTGACTGGGGAGAAATTAGGGCTGGAAGCCTTGAAATCTACTTGGAATGCTCCCAAGCAAAGACATCTTTCAGGAGTCAGGAAAGAGGGAGAGGAAGGATGATTTGAAGTCAAGATAGAGATAACCCCTATCCAGGGGAGCTCTCTACACATTGACTGCTGCTGTCCTCTGACCCTTCTCCCTAGGAAAAACGGCCACCTGACATTCTGACCTTATCTTCTGGGTAGCAGAATAACAGAATAAAAATGTTTGTTTTTTTGCTTCCTCGTGGGAGATTAATAATCATTCACCTGTAGTGTCTCCATTTGGCTGACACTGATCCCCATCAGAACCTTCCCCCTGAGTCATCCACCAAATGCTCCCTTATATCTTGATGTGTGTGTATGTGAGCATGTGTGTGTTGCTATGGATACACCTAGGTGTGTGTTTATGTGTACTGTGTACTGTGTGTGTGTGTGAGTGTGAGTGTGTGTGAGTGTGTGTGTGAGTGTGTGTGAGTGTGTGGGTGAGTGTGTGTGTGTGAGTGTGTGTGTGAGTGTGTGTGTGAGTGTGTGTGAGTGTGTGTGGGTGAGTGTGTGGGTGAGTGTGTGTGTGAGTGTGTGTGAGTGTGTGTGAGTGTGTGTGAGTGTGTGTGTGAGTGTGTGTGAGTGTGTGTGTGAGTGTGTGTGAGTGTGTGTGAGTGTGTGCGTGTGTGTGTGTGTGTGTGTTGCATGCTTTGTTATTAGCATGTTCTGAATTGCTGGCCATGGTTCCATCTACCATCTCTATAATTCTTGAAATCTACCTCCTAGCCTCCAGGCATCATTTGCAATTATAATGCTGTCATGAGTAGAAAAGAGATGGCCTAATTAATCATTGTCCACGCCAGTCCCCATTTACCACAGGAGTTTTGCTGTTGTTTTTGTAACAGCCTGGCTGGGAATCATTTATATCAAAATGTATTTCTTCATTTTATATCACTGAAAACGTTTACTTAGCATCATGGTCACTGTACATAAATTCCCTGGAAGTAATGGGGTATAACTAAATGACATAGATTCATTTATTATATTCAGCAAATTACGTCTGAGCAGCTACTCCAGTGCTCAAGCCCCACCGCGGTCAGCAGAGCAGGCTGCTGGGTACCTTCAAAGCCGCTGTGGTCCCCCGAACTTAGTCTCCCACAAAAAATCAGAATGAAGAGTCTGCTCCAGGAGTTACAACTGTGTTATTTAACGTGATCTGGCTCCTTGACATTCCAGTGGTCACATGACTTTCGAATAAAAACTCCAGGGCCCTGTGATTTTTCAATTGGTTGTACGACCAACAGGACTTTGCATTTGTGAGCTGATAAGTCACAGCCTAGCTGAGATTAGTCTGTGTGTACTAACAGTGACAGCTTGCTTTAGCAGGGTCTCCATTTCCTTCAGGAAGAATAGTAATGTCAAACACTCTGAAATGTGAGATGTCAAATGGAAGATGAGTCAGGACCACAATCCCTCACAGATGCCCTCCCGACACACCTCTTGCCCTTAGCCTTCAGTCGCCATCTGTGTTCTGTTAGCCTCTGCTCCTATGTTGTGGTTACCGAGATCAGACAGGTATCCAACAAACATGCATTCACCGTAACATACATGTAAGGAGTGGTAACCACTATCCTTTATCAAAACCCTTTTATTTCCAAGACATCTTGCTACATAGTTTATGTTTCACATCATTTTCCTTAATTTTAAATAAAATTCCTAGAAAATAGATAGTATTAATCCTGTGACCCTACAGAGACCTAGAAGGTTGATGTCTTGCAAACCTCCCATGAAGCCAGCTAGAATTCAACCCCACCTCCTCCTGAGCCAAATATCCACATAGCATATGGCCTCTGTAGGGACCTAGATTTTCTCTGCTCAACGAGTTGCTTATACTCCGGGGTCTCCTGGCTCTTCACTCTATTTGAAGTCTCTTTGTAAACTGGCCTTTGAAATTTCCAAGTTCTTCAGTGCAATGAGCTGAGAAGAGCTCTGCTTAAGAGAGACGGGTGAAGGTCGCAGTGGTGGTCACAAATACCTCCAGATGGCTTTTAGCCAACCATCTAGGCAGATTTTGTAATTTAAGGAAAATCGACATGTGGCCCTTTCAGCATTTCTGAGCGTCCTCTGTGAGCTCAGCACTGTGACATTTGCTGTGTGGTGGCTGTGCACTGGACCCTGTCCACAGAGAAGAACAGAGGCCGAGCCTCAGCCTAGGGGACACTTTCCAAAGGCCACCAAGAGAAAAGAAAAAAGCTGAACTCAGTACTTCAGAGGCTTGCACTTTTTCCTGTAGAGATGGTTCTGATCATCCAAGCCTCTCAGCATCTTCTCTGCATCCAGGTTATTGAATCCATCCTTCATACCCAAGTCATAGAAATTACATCCCCCCATTGATGCTGACAATAGGGCATGGGCTTCATCTGTCAGTAACAGAGAGAGTCTGGACTTTGTTCATTTACTGTGATCCTTCTTCTTGTTCCTCTGTTTCTAACTACTCTTGCCCAGTTTCCCTGGAGCAAACACGTATGAAAGAAGCAGAAGCACTTCCCCAAACACTAACAGTCTTAGTCCCATGCTCAGAGAAATGAGGCTTCAAAGTAATAACTTTACCTGTCCTTTAGTGCTGTGAGTCTTGACTAGCCTTTGGGTGAGACCTCTGAAATGACCACCTTCGGACATGGACATGCACAGCCAAAGCAGAAAACCACTGAAGGAAGTTTAGCTGCCCATGGGGAGTGTGTGGCTACAGACAACATCTCCATGAGGACAGATATGAAGAGTCAGGTGCAGAGAATGACTAAATGTGATGGTGAGTCTCTTCTGAGAAAATGGGAGGGTGTGTAGGCTCATGGGAGGCTACGCATGCTCAGTTATGGGTCCATAGCTGATGCTCTAGAAGCATCAGTCAGAGACATCAGAATGTTTGAACAACTTCACAAGAAGCTTGTCACATATGACCATACCATGAATCAAGCACAATTGACACCACTGGGAGTTCCGGACACAAAGTGCTTTCCCTGTGACCAAGCGGACCTGAGTACAGCACTCACTGGATAAAGATAGAGAACACATACTCTTGGAGCCCCAGGGCTGAGGACTTGGGCATTCAATCCTTGGAGCTTGCTGCAGCTGCTCTAGTCAAACTAGTCAGTGAGTTCCAGGTTCAGTGAGACTCTGTCTCAAAAGCTAAGGTGAAGAGTGTTTTGAAAAACACTCAAAGTTGACCTATGGCCTCTGTATGTATGTATGTATACACAGGTTCGTGCACATCTACACGTGCATGCCCATGAACCTACACACACACACACACACACACACACATACACCTGACATACTGCACCAACTTTTGTCCTTAGGCTACGACCTATTTCAATTTCTTCCCAAATACCTCTCCAGATCCAAACACCCACACAGATTAATGTTTGCCACGCCCTACCTTAACTGCTCACCGGGCAGCTTCCTCTGTGTGGGGTTCATTACATACACTGCCACTAGGTTGGAGGTGCTTAGACCACACAGCCTAACTCAGACACTCGTCTTTCCAGACCATCACGATTCCACCCCAGCAGCTTCCTTCCATGACTGATGCTGCCCACAGTGGACCCCGGGAGCTGGTCTCCTCTGGGGCCCCCTCTTCACTAGATTTCTGGGAGAGTTGAACACCAAACCCAGCACTCACCAGTCTTCCTAGGTTGCCTCTTCCCCCTTTCTCTTCCCTCCTCAAAGCCACCTGTATTGACTAAATTACTCAGGACCAGACTGGACTGTTTATTCAAAACCAAAGTCCACCAAAATGGAAAGGAACTTAGAAAGAAGCTTCCACCAGTACATTACGAACAATTTGCTAAAGGGCCCCGTAGTCAGAGCAGGAGCAAGGTACAGGGTACGACGTTGTTCCTATGGCTGGTGGTCTCCTGAAGAAAGTTAGGGCAGGCTTACAGGATAGTAAGTCCACTATCCACTGCCTGAGACCCCCCTGAGAAAAAAACAAGTTCCGGGGAAAGCCCCAGGTGGCAGTGTCTGAACCATCAGTGAGACCCCCATCAGATCCAGTCTTATCCATCTAGAAACAAGCTTGTATGGAAAAGCAAACAGGCTTGGGCCGTGCCCTTTGGACCTTTGGCAATCCTCCTTAAGCCAGCACCTCCTATAAATGGAGCGCTTTTCAGGTGGCCGGGCATTCTCATCAGTGCCTGCTGTGGATCAAGTACCTGCCTGAGAGCCGCCTCGGAAGACCCTGTAGAGCCAGCAGCGGGGCTAGGCCCGTGGCCAGGCCACAGCCAGGAAGCCACCCCACCCATCCATCGGCCATGGGCCCACAGAGGCCTGCCCTGCGGGCGCCGCTTCGGCTGCTGTTCCTGCTGCTGTTCTTAGACACCAGCGTCTGGGCTCGTGAGTTAGGGTGGAAGCCTGGGAGAAAGCCAGCGTGGGGACAGAGCGCTGGGTTGTGCTTCAGACCATCAGTTACATCAGGGAGTAGAAACTGGTGGCAGGCTGACTTGACTGTTAGGTAGTTTGGGCTAGGTGAGAGGGAAGGCAACCGCAGGGGCCCGAGGAAAGGGGATGATGAGAACTAGAGCTAGCGGGTGTCTCCTCCGGGCTCCGGGTGATGGAAGAGTTAGAAAGACCGCTCTGGATAGTCCTAAAATAATTGAGGCCGTGAGGGCTCCCTCCCAGCAGCCCCTGAAACCCACTGGGAAACACAAGAAAGCCAAGGTTCTTCTTTTCTCTTACAGAAGATGAAGTTCCGGAAAACCTCAGCTTGAACTGTCCAAGTAAGGCATTTCTTCATTAGCTGCCTAGGGAACCTCCCACCCCGACTCTCCTCTCCATCCACCCTCCTCCGCACCTGTTCCTAAGGACCCTCCTTCCACGTAGTATCCACATGCTCAGATTAGGAGGCACTGCTCAGACCCCTGAAAGCGAAGGTTTTGAGTCTCTGTGCACCTAGTCTCCTCCAGCAAAGGATCTCTGCTCTTTCTTCTGTTCCGAGGCTTGGTCCCGAGGTGGGGTAGCGATGAGACTGTGGGCACCATAGAGAGACATTACTGTGCTGTTTATCACTGACTAATCATTGATTCAGAGTATGTGAGGATGAAGAAATGCCGACTTTAACCTTTGTGTAGAACTCCAGACTCCTCCACCCCTTCCTATTTACTCTACCCTAGGGGTCAGAGGATCAGGCTTTGCTGCAATACCCGGCTTCCTCCACGGAGCTCTAGGGTTGGCCTCTCCTCTGATGGGGCAGCATCTCCATCTGGTGGTCATATGGTAGTACTACATCCGAGTTCCTAAATAGTTGTTTTTCTCACAACAATCACAAAATTCCTGTCATGGACAATGGAATCTTCCAGAAGTTTCTTCTTAGGGAGGGGGTGTCTGGGAGTCAACTAGAAACCCTTAACAATTAACTTTGTCTCGGGTATTTCGTAGGCTCTAAATAGTCACATGATGATAGCATCTTCAAACTGAGAAAACATTTAGCCCTGTCCCCTTGATAACTTAATTTTTCAAAGGGCCTTCCCATGAATTTTTGCAGCTCCATTAATTGATGTTTGGCTCTCCCTTTCGTGTACTCTAGACGATCTACTCAAGGAATCCCAAATTATTTAAACAGCAGACTCAGCCAAACAGTGGCGATGTTAAATCTATAAAGACAATTTACGCATAGCGCAAAGTCAGACACAAGTAACTTGTGTTCGATGACTTTTATCACCTGTGCCACTGTCCCTCTATGCCCAGCAGCAGCTACTTTGGAGAGCTGTTTCATCTTCAGAGCTGACTTATTTCCTTCTCATTTTAGAAGATGCAACTCGATTCAAGCACCTCCGAAAGTACGTGTACAACTATGAAGCTGAAAGTTCCAGCGGTGTCCGGGGCACTGCTGACTCCAGAAGTGCCACCAAGATCAACTGTAAGGTACGGAAGACAAGGGCTGGAGGACCCTGCAGCTGGAACCCAGCCTTGATCCACCAGGAGCCCCTCAGAGAACCTTCTAGCCTTTCCCAGCACATGCAAAAACTCCAACTGACCACCTGAATAAGGAGACTTCCACAGAAAAAAAATTCCAGCCACATTTTCCCTCCCATTAGCTTCCAAAGTGTAATGGAGGACATGGTCTTAGAGACCACTGGGATTGGCTTATAGATCTGACCATGAGAGAGGTCCAGTGAGTATAGAAAAAAAGGTGGTCCTCACAGGAGAATATTGGGCGTGCCGCATTTATGGTGTCAACCATAATATGGAGAAATATTTGAACAACTGATTTGTTCAAATAATATGCTACTTCTCAAGAGATTTGTTAGACTCTTGTCTGTTCTCATAAAGCGTAGCTGAGGGCTGCTGTTGAGGTCTGTGTGGGGAAGAGAAGTCCATTTTGCTAAGTTATCCTCTTCCCTCTTGGGCCATAGTGCTCATCTGACAGTCAAATGCAGTGGGCATTGGCCACAGGTGGCCATTTAAGCTGAATAAATGAAATTCTCGTTCTCACTGGCCATATTTTAGTGTAGCCAACATCCACCTGTGGCTCATGCTGCTCCCTTAGACCAGACAGCACAAACACAGAGCTTCTCATCATGCTCAAATGTTCTTTAAATGGCTCCAGAAAAAAAAAAACACCAAGGGTCCGTTTCAATTCTGCCCACATAGAAAGCTTTCATCGGGCTCATGGATACAGTTTGGGGAAATGAAGTCAGGAAAATGTTCCCTTTTCCTGCTTGCTGTTTATTTTTGCTTGCTTCATTTTGTTTTCTTAAGTCTCACTCCACTCTGCATTTCTGCTCAGAAATCACCCCAAATTCTTTACGTGTAAAGTGAATAAATTTAAAACCAACACAAAAGTATTCTCCTTTCTATGCATAGGGGCAACCATAAGAAACTTCTTAACATAGGAAGAAGAAAGCTAAGCTGAAGATTCATGAGATGTGCTTAGAACATGTGGTTCTGGCGACTCTGTGACCGTGTTACCAAATACTTTTCCCTCAACGTCCTGGTTGAAGACTGGGCTGCAGGGATATCTACTATTCTGGATGGAGAACCTCAATATATTGATATTTTCTACTCTCAGGTGGAACTGGAGGTTCCCCAAATCTGCAGTTTCATCATGAGGACCAGCCAGTGTACCCTTAAAGAGGTGTATGGCTTCAACCCTGAGGGCAAGGCCTTGATGAAGAAAACCAAGAACTCTGAAGAGTTTGCAACTGCCATGTCCAGGTAAGTTGTGGGTTTATGTCTTTAAGTATCTGAGCTTTTTGAATGCTACATGAGTTGATTGTGGTACACGAAATATTCATGAGTCCGTGGGGATATGAGTGTGTGCGTTCATGTCAGGCGTGCCTTTAAGTGCTAACATTGGTATTCAGTGCCTACCATAGATCGGGATGCTGTGAAGTTTTCACATCTATCTAAAAGAGGGAAGTAGTATTGACTCTCCTCTACTTAAGTTCCCTTGATTATCATTTAAATTGTTCTTCTAACAGATCTCATGGTTGAAGCACTTTTGAGACTATAAAGCTGAGATGGTTTGTTTAAACAAGCAAGATCATGTTTATAGAATCGAACGAGGATGATGCCTGGGGGTCTTCAGGGTGGATCAGGCAGCAGTTGCTGCTCTGAGATCATAAATGCTGCGTGGACCCCTGTGTGTTTACAAGGGTGTGGCATCCGTCCAACAGAGGACAAGGGCAAGTAGGACCTTAGCAGTCTCCTACCCAGGACTGCTAAGCAGCCACTGTGCACTGGAAACCAGTGCTGCCATTTAGAGCGGACATCTCTCCCAACACATCAGTTACAGTGCAGTACAATAAGTATTTTCAACACCATCCTTACCTTACACCACTTAGTTTAGGAAGTCTTAAGTGTGTGTAATACAGGCAGATGCAGGGAGGTTAACATGGTAGCAGGGGATACCTTCCCTTGCCTATTTTTGGATTTGCTAAATGTCAAAACCTTGTCCTTTCCCTGAAAAATAGGCAAAAATGTCCCTGTCTTCTGTCAAAACATCTTGCTTTATTAGATCCTTGATGAGAGGGGAAAGTTGTGGTGGCAGGAGAGAGTGGCAGTTATTCTGAGGTCCTTTCTCAGCCATAAACACAAGAGACTCCTCCTCTTCACCACAAGGACTTTCCAGGCTGGCACTGCTGTGTCTAGAATATTCTGAGAGGTTCAGAGATATGAGAGGGGGACCTGGTCCTCTTCCCCTGTGAACTTAACCAGAGCCTTGACAGCTCAAGCAATCCCCAATAGGAAGGCAGCCCCTAAGATTAAAGTTAACCTGAATTTCCATCTTGGCCTCAGACTGAATTAAAAAGCGAATGTCTGACAATTGTATGAAGAGAAGCTTAGATTCACTGGTAGTGGAGAAATGCAAATAATGTATTAGGAGAGGTTTCTCATTCCACGCCCATTAAGCTACAAAAGTTGAGATGGCACCCATTGCTACAAGAATGATAGTATATTTTCATACACTAGAAATGAAAGTCGCAGGGCAATACTGAGTCCAGTTGATAATATTTATACTTTGACATAACAGTTCTCATATCTGGGACACTGGCCCATCTAAATAAAAGCAGTCATGCATGAAATAGGTGTATATGGGTGTTTATTTCAATATCATCTGTGTGACCACAAAAGAAATTCAGGAAGAGAGAATGTCACTGCTCTCAAATGATGCAATGTTTAAGGCATTGTATAAAACCAAAGAACAAAATGCTGTATAAATCTTAGTAAAGACTCTAGTGGCACTATAGCAAGTGATTCAGATGTTCCCGGAGTATAATTAAACAAGAAAATCAAGATGAAGAAAGCATACATAGTGCACCATCATTTCTGTAAAACATGGCAAAATCTCTGTGTATCCTCCTGGGTGTGTATGGAATCATATGAACAGGTGCTGACATTGAAGGATACATAGAGATGTCCGTAGAAACAGTGAGACTGGAGGAAGACATGAGGAACAGAGATGGAGATGGGGGATGAGCCAAGACAAAAAGAAAAAAAGTCAAGAAAAAATGAAACAGAAAACTGACCCTTATTTGAAGACTTTAGGGGAATGTATGGGAAGGGAAATGTATGTATAAAGAAAACCTCTCCAAAGAGGAAAAAACCTCTCCCATGTTCCTAGCTCCCTCTGTGGGCTCACAGTGGAAGAATGGTTCTTCTGTGAACATGTGACTCCTTTCTCCTGGACAGGTACGAGCTCAAGCTGGCCATTCCTGAAGGGAAACAAATTGTTCTTTACCCCGACAAGGATGAACCTAAATATATCCTGAACATCAAAAGGGGCATCATCTCTGCTCTTCTGGTTCCCCCAGAGACAGAAGAGGACAAACAAGTGTTGTTCCTGGTGAGAATCTTAGAAGTTGGTGACAGTGGCCTTTTCAAAGTTCTCTTCACATGACAGAGGCCAGCCTCACCTTAGATAAAATACACTGCCTGTTGATGAGATGTATAGCAGTTACATGGGGAACCCTAGACTGGTATGAGTACCAGGAATCATAGTTCCCCATGTCCCCAGAGCTTACTGATAGACTGTCTTCAACAATTTAATGGTGTTGGGTCTGATTTTAAAGCTTTCCCTGGGGCTTTTAACTACTCTACTTGCTATGGTTCAGGGTTGTTTTTTCCTGTGCCCATATCAAAACACAGGAAAGCCTTGTGTATTTTAGACCTCAGGAAGAGTAGACTATATTGTTTTCCAAGTCAACCTTGGAGATAATTCAATGTACTTCAAACACAAGAACATTTCTGAGCTCTGATCATGCTCTTAGCTCTCGACTCCACTATGCTTGGACAATAGAGAGATTCATCCTTCCCCGCCCTTAGAACAAAGCCTTGTGGGTCTGCTCCTCCCAATATCAGCTAGGCAGGCACAGCAATGCTACTCTCTGCCTGGGAGCAAAGGAAACTCCCTCAATCCATATCCCTCCTGCCCCTATGCCCAGATGACTTTCTGAGTCCCTCTCAAGCACCTGGTGGTGTTTTTCCACACTGAGTGTACCTGACCATATCTTGGGCTCCCACAGGATACTGTGTATGGCAACTGCTCAACTCAGGTTACAGTGAATTCAAGAAAGGGAACCGTGGCAACGGAAATGTCCACAGAGAGAAACCTGCAGCAGTGTGATGGCTTCCAGCCCATCAGCACGAGTGTCAGCCCTCTGGCCCTCATCAAAGGCCTGGTGAGTCTCACACCACATCATCATACACACCCACCAATAGCCTTCTTAGGAAAATTCTGGAATGTTCTAGCTAGTGGGACTCTCAGAGAAGAGCCTGCCCAGCTTATCCATGACGTAGTCTTTAGTGAGACCCTGGCAACTCGAAATCAGAAGGACTGCCAAGGCTGAAAGGCTGTTAGAAATTATCCCAGGACTGGATCTGGATTCTGGACTCCTATTACTGAGCTTGGTCTTTCCTGCTCTCCTTCTCAGAGCACCAACCATCTTCCTGTGTAACCCTGAGATGATATACTTGTCACTTTTCTTCCCTCGTGGGTCTGTCACTTAGGACAAGAGTTGGTTGTCCTGAGTGAGTGGCCTCTACAGAACTTTAGAGGCCTATGTTCTTTCATTTCCCTCAGGCCATGAAGTGACATGAATGTGTCTCAGCTTCCTGTTCTTCCATCCTAAGCAGAACTAAGCCCTCTAGGTCCTGCCTAAGCCCTTATCTCACAGCCCCCGTGTGCTACTACACAGGGTTCTAGGGAACATGTTTACAGAGTTTGTCCAGTCCCTGTAACATTCCGGAACATGAGTCAAAGGTTGTCTCAGTCAACATGAACTACTGAACAATTCTTGCCATCTTTGCCAATCTTCCTGGACATTGTCCTTGAAGCTAGACAGAGATGGTCTGATGGCCATGAGGGCCAGAGTTAGACAAGGCCAATGCACTGGCTTGGCATCTTTTCTTAGAATCTGCTCTGTATTCAACTTTACTCTGAGTAGTACTGTGGGAGAGAGGAAGACAGAGAAGGAAGAAATGAAAGAGGGAATCAGATGAACCATGGGCAGCCTTCCCTCAAGGTGCTTCCAGACTAACGTGGCAACAAAGTTTACACATCTACCAGTAAGAGACATACTATAGTTGGTAAAAGAACTGAGTTACACAGAGAAGCAGCCCTGGGCCTGACCATGAAAGATCAAGCATCTACTATTCTCCTATTGCACTGGGTAGAGTTATAGAAGATGCAGAAGAAAGCTGAAAAACTAAGAAGCTTATCTGAATGGAAGCTGTGAGGTGTACATGTGCATGGGAGATAATGTAGGATGCAAGGTACACATTATACATGATGAACACTCCACTCGGATGGAGTCACATCTTTGAGTATGCTGTCTTATGTCTCCTTAGCTAATGTCAATCATTGAGTTCTCTTCCTTCCACTGAGTTCACTAGTGCTTCAGACTTCCAACCTCTACTTCCTTGAAGACACCACCCTATGGCAGAAGAGTCAGCTTGAAATCCCAGGGACTGATCAAAATGCTTTCCTCTGATCCAACAGGTCCGCCCCTTGTCGACTCTTATCCGCAGCAGCCAATCTTGCCAGTATACCCTGGATCCCAAGAGGAAGCATGTGTCTGAAGCCGTCTGCAATGAGCAGCATCTTTTCCTGCCTTTCTCCTACAAGTAGGTTACCTACTGCTTCCAATACTCATCATTTAACGGGATTGTGTTAAATGGGTGGTGTCTGTACACCTCCTAAGTGCCCAGTTCCGGACTAGAATGGGCTTAGAGGAAACTGTGGAAGGTACAAGGCAGAGGCTATCATCTCTGTCCTGCTTTTAAGATCATAGGGAATTTGCTAGAAAGGTCTCAAGCAAATGGAACAATTTGACACCAACAAAAGGTATCTCAGACTCAGACCTTACGGGCTTATAGATCCAGAAAGTGAATTGTTCATTGCATGGTGCCCTAGTTTAGAAGAGCTTCGTGAAGGATTTGGGATTTTCCAATGGAGACTTACATATCTAAATCCATGTTAAAAACTGACATTCAATTAACATTCATTAGAGAATTGCTATGTCCATGAGACTGTGCTGTGAGAGCAACGAAAGAGTTTCAAGGCTGGGTCATACTCCCAACCCTCTGGGAATTCTAGATTGGTGTAAAGCATAATAAAGGATAATTAGTGAGAGCAGGAAGTGCTGGGCACCACCCATTGGAGGATCGAGATGTTTGGATTTCAACATCCTTTGAAAGGTGGGCAGAGTTGGAACAGAAGAATAGGTGGAGACATTTCAACTTGAAAAGAATAGCATTATCTCAAGAATTGGTCACCCATGATGCAATCAATGTACTTCCTGTGTTACCAGGAATAAATACGGGATCATGACACATGTTACACAGAAACTGAGTCTTGAAGACACACCTAAGATCAACAGTCGCTTCTTCAGTGAAGGTAAGTGATGTGGACTCTAGTGTTCTGGCCACAGGACTACAACTATTAAGAGAGCATTTCAGAGGGTGTAGACTAAATTCAGAATTTTAGTCTAACCCCAGACCAGCAATGGTTTGTGTGTCAGTCTGTCGACACTTGGACTTGTGCATTATTTTATTGTTTTCTTGGTTAATAGATTCTATGAGTTCAGAGGATGGAGACACATGCTTATGTGTCTGTCTCATAGATGAGTGGTTCTCAACCTGTATGTCATTTCCCTTTGGGGCCAAATGTGCCTTTCACAGAAGTCACCAAGACCCTCAGGAAACCCAGATGTTTACATTATGATTTATAACTAACAAAATTGCAGTTATGAAGTAGCAATGAAAATAATTTTTATTGTTGGGGGTCTCTACAATATGAGGAACTATTATAGGGTCACACACAGTATTAGGAAGGTTGAAAACCACTGCCATAGAAGGAAATGACAGACAGTAAGGCTTAATGAGGTAGTCTCGGTCATAGAATGAGTGTCTAAGTCTAGTCAAAGTCAACACTATAGCCCATTTCTATGAGCTAATGGGGCTACAGGAGAGTATCCTCTTTCCATAGGCTCCTAGTGGAAGAACTGATAGATGAGGACCACTGAGTTCATCCTTGGTATTGCCATGGCAGACACAGAGCTTCCTAGCCATTCTGTATAGCACAGGATGATTTGATACCAGATTCCACAATCTTGGATTCAACTCCAGGTTGACCTCACACAGCTAGAGAGTTCTTGGGTAAACATTCTCAAAATAATAGAACTAGAGAGATGGCTCATCAGTTAAGAGCTCTTCCAGAGGACCTGAGTTCAGTTCCTAGAACTCCCACTGGGTGGCTCACAAGTTCCTGAAACTCCAACTCCAAGGGATCTGACACCCTCTTTTGCCCTTTGTAGGTACCTGCACTTATGCACACAAATCCACACAGAGATGCACATAAATAAAGAAATAAGATTTTCGGACAAATTATCAAATTATATTGGTTACCTTGTTTCCCTTCTCCTCTCTTTAAGCTGTAAAATATCCCCCCTCAAAAAAGGCGATGATGAGTGAATGAAAATATCCAGCCTCGAGTATGATGTCTAATAAGAGTTGAGAAAGTAGTCACCGTCTTTTCTATTTCCTCTGCTGATAACTATGCCATCTTCAGTTTACAGCCAATAAAGACGTTGAGCTACATACAGAAGTAAAACTACCTTGACACTTCTCTTCTTTCAGGTACCAACTGGGTGGGTCTGGCTTTTGAGAGTACCAAGCCCACATCACCCCCAAAGCAGTCTGATGCTGTTTTAAAGACCCTTCAAGAACTGAAAAAATTGTCCATCTCAGAGCAGAATGCTCAGAGAGCAAATCTCTTCAATAAACTGGTTACTGAACTGAGAGGCCTCCGAGGTGAGGCACTCACGTCCCTCTTGCCACAGCTGATCGAAGTGTCCAGGTAGGTCTTTACAGATTAAATTCTCAAATGACCTGTGGAAGCTTCTGAACCTTCAGCCCAAGAATCTCGGGACCTATTTAATTGTCAACTCACATAACCAGTTAATTGGCTAATACCTACTGCCTGGAGAACTGACTTCTAAGTTGCTGAGAGTTTTATAGGCAACACACACACAGCATTGAAGGCATACGTGTACCTGTGTGCTAACATACTAGAATGCTGTGTAGCTCTCACATTTTATGGGTATCTTCGAATTCCTAATTCCACTGTGAGCACCATATGGACCGCCATTAAACCTTTAAGGCTAGCAGAAAGAGAACTCAGATAAACAAAACAGTACAGTTTCTCTGCTTGCCATACTACTAATACTTGTTCTACATGCTGAGAAGCTTCACAGGAGGGACTGAGGCCAGGAATGACCCATGCTTGAGCTGACAAGGCACAGTCTATGTCATAGCTAAAGGGCAGTGATAACTGTCCTCATTAACTTCAGGTCTGGGGGTCCTTTGGCTTCCCTCTATGAAGTTTCTGTGGTGGTAACATCCCTAGGGACAACATTGTGGAGGAAGTCATCACAATTACTGGGCTCTGAGTTGTAATGTGTAAGACAGTTAGCTCTGGGTGTTAGTGAAAAAGGTTGGATAAGTACTCTCCTGGCAGAAGATATGCCAGGTGCTGAGGATACTGGATTTGTCATTAGTGTCTTCTGTGTAACTCTCTCTGTATGTCTCTCCTCAGCCCCATCACTTTACAAGCCTTGGTTCAGTGTGGACAACCTCAGTGCTATACTCACATCCTCCAGTGGCTGAAAACTGAGAAGGCTCACCCCTTCCTGGTTGACATTGTTACCTACCTTATGGCTTTGATCCCAAATCCCTCAACGGAGAGGCTGCAGGAGATCTTTAACACTGCCAAGGAGCTGAAGAGCCGAGCTACCCTGTATGCACTGAGCCACGTAGTTAACAGGTGAGACTCCACCTTGCCTTGCTCTACCTTACATCCCTTGTCCTGAAGGCAAAGGAAGCCTCATACCTCTGCTTCATGCTGGCACTCTCCCCCTTCAAATCCTAGTGCTTTCTCCTGTTTTTCTATTGTTCAATTTGAGAGAGACTGCTTGAAATAAGAATCAGCAAACACAAGTTAGGATTTTAAAAAAGGTTTAACTATGCCTCTCTCTTTTTTTTTTTAACTTGATAGCTATTTTGATGTGGACCGTTCAAGGAGCCCAGTTCTGCAGGAGATTGCTGGTTACCTGTTGAAACAGATTGACAATGAATGCATGGGGGATGAAGATCACACCTTCTTGATTCTGAGGGTATTCTTTCCATATTTTGCATTATATACATCATTCAAAAAATGTCCATCCTAGAAAGCCCTTATTTCTGCACTGTGATGAGCTCTTGTTTTATTTCTTCCATGAAGGTCATTGGAAATATGGGCAGCACCATGGAACAAGTAATGCCAGACCTCAAGTCTTCAGTCCTGAACTGTGTGAGAAGTACAAAACCATCTCTGCTCATTCAAAAAGCTGCTATCCAGGCCCTGAGGAAGATGGAGCTTGGAGATGAGGTAAAGTTCACTGTGCAGTTCTAAAAGTGAAAGTTGATGCTGATCAACAAGATTCAGTAAGTGTAAAGACAGCCCATTATCTGTTTCACCAACTGAGTTTCCCAGTACCATCATCTATGTGCCAGTTTCAATAAATCGATGGACATCCTAGTACTATGTCGACATGAAAGACATACAGCTTTGTAGCTAATCCATGAGACAGAACAAAGATTTTCTTTTTTGGCTACATGTGCTCCTACTACCAAAACGACCATCATCTCATCTTAGGAAAACATTGCTACTATGCAATCAAATTCAATTTTGAATTTGATCTTACAGTAGGATCAAAAACTCCAGATCATTAGAAACCATCTTATCTAAATGTACTATCATTTTCCATCTTTTTCCTTATTGAAATAATCTTATTTAGACAATAATCTAATTGTCTAGTAACTAGACAGAAATAATCTACATTAAGACAAATTTCTCTTAAGTGTCGGGTCTACAAGCAAGTCATAAGTTGGTCTTGATTTGTGTGCTGTAATGTAATTGAGCTCAACAAATCTTCTAGGGACCATTCCTTGGGCTGGCCATACTGGAGGACACTGAAGAAGACTAGGTATCAGCATTTGCAGCCATTTTAGAAACAAATTAGTTTTCTCATAAACATGTGCTGGCAGACATGCCCACATCCATCAGATAACGCTCTGTCTTGACCAAAAGAAAGCAACCTCAATATTCTCTTCTGCTGCAGGCCCGAACAATCCTTTTTGACACATTTGTGAATGGTATCGCTCCAGTGGAGAAAAGACTGGCTGCCTACCTCTTGCTGATGAGGGGTCCTTCCTCATCAGATATTAACAAAATTGCCCAACTTCTCCAATGGGAACAGAGTGAACAGGTGAAGAGTTTTGTGGCATCTCACATTGCCAACATCTTGAACTCAGAAGAACTGTATGTCCAAGAGTAAGTGAGAGTCATTTTCCTTCATCATCCCCTGAGAAACCTGGACTGGGAGACCAATCCCCCATTCTGGCACTGCCTGTCCTCAGTGATATGTACAGACTTTGAGCCAAAGTTTTGGGACATATAAGTCCATATACCTTAATTGCCATTAGAAATTCATATATGTTTAGGACATGAGGTGATAATAGACAAGTGACATACAGTTCTGACTCAAAGAATATTTTTTCTTTTTATTTAGTCTGAAAAATTTGATCAAAAATGCTCTGGAGAATTCTCAACTTCCAACGATCATGGACTTCAGAAAATTTTCCCGCAACTATCAAATTTCCAAATCTGCTTCTTTCCCGTTGCTTGACCCAGTATCAGTCAAAATAGAAGGGAATCTTGTATTTGATCCAAACAGTTATCTTCCCAAAGAAAGCATGCTGAAAACAACCCTCACAGTCTTTGGACTTGATTCACTTGATCTCTTTGAGGTATGTGTGACTGAAGGAGCTCAGTGTAGTTTGCCCACTCTGTACAACACCATCTGTCTCCACTAGGGGTCATCTGAAGCATGAGTCCTTAGACTGTATAGAGCCAAAGATGTCTCAGTGCAGACTCTGGAGCCCAAACCCTAGAAAATGCAGGAACTCTCCACTGAGCTACATACATGATTTCCCCCCCCCCATCAAACCCTGAATCTGCTCCCAATTCTAAATCCTTAAATATTCATCCTCTCTGACCATTAGAGGTGTCTTCTAGGAAAAGTCAGAAGAGTGCTACCTTTCAGGAGTCTAGTGTGACTTAAGTAAACAACTTCCTTCAAGTGTTTCTGCAGTGTTCATCTGATGCTTGTTTAATTGCATGAGCTTTAAGTGGCAGTGATGGGGAGACAGGGGCTGCTGTACCACAAAAAGCCTAATGGTGTATTTTGCCTGGTTTTCTTTCTCAGATTGGTTTAGAAGGAAAGGGCTTTGAGCCAACACTGGAAGCTCTTTTTGGTAAGCAAGGATTCTTCCCAGACAGTGTCAACAAGGCTTTGTATTGGGTCAATGGTCGTGTTCCAGATCAGGTCTCCAAGGTCTTGGTGGACCACTTTGGCTATACTAAAGATGACAAGCATGAACAGGTATGTATTAAATGTCCTTTTTAAAAAGGGAAGCTTTAGGTATCACTATCAGACATTCATCTCTATGCCTAGAAGCTATGAAAGTTCTGTCTACCTGAAATGGTTACTATGGCTTTCTATATATTAGACACTTCTATGTAACTAAGAAAGAGCCAGTGTCCTCTACAGATAAGGGCCTCTTGAAAATTTAGTGGGAACAAGGTTGACTAGAAGCAATCCAGTGAATGATTAAGAGTATGCCACATCAGACAAGAGTTTGGATTCACACCTTACTGTCTCTGAGCCATGCACCCTTGGGAAAGTTGCCTGATATTACATGGACCTGATCTGTTTCTATATCAACAAGGTACTAATAACAACCCATATCTCACATCATCACTTAATGGCTAAATGAAATAAGTTGCATGGCCCCTGAAATTACTACTGGTTGTTCAATAAGCATACAATTATAAATTTTAAGCTAATATTTTCATCATTTTTAACGAATTTTCCTCACCTGTCACTCACATCAGTGTATTAGCCAATGACAACCAACTCCACTTTGAAGCTCACAATGAACTCTCACTTTAAGGAGTAGAAACTAGGTTGTGTAGGCTGGAGTTTCCTATTGCTCTGATTGTTTGAACTCAGAGTGTAGTCTGTGTGACTGCCACCATAAAAATCACTTGTTAGAAATGATGGTTCACGGGCTTACCCAAGCTCTACTGAATCAGACCCCATTTTAACAAGACTCCAGGGAACATAAGTGTATAAGAAGGTTTAGAAGGAGGGCCATAGCTTGTTTTCAAGTGTTAACTTGTGGTTAACTTCTGATTTCTGACCTCCATCTAAAGATGATCCATTTTGGATCTTCTCCCTGATGCCTTGTGTCAGTTCTTGAAGGTTTTTTTTTCTTAATTGTGGATCTGTAGTCACTCACATGTTCTTCAAACTTCCATCTGATTTCTATAATAGTCACCTTTTCTCGAGAAATACTAGCACTCATTCCTAGTAAATGGATAGAAGGCTAAGCAAGGGAGGGGAACAGAGAGCATCCTAACTTAAGGATCCCTAAGGATCCTGGCATCCTGGAGAACAGGAGTTCCCCTAATTATCCTTCAAGTTAAGCAGTACTTTGGAAACACTCCTATTTCCTACAAGTGCTTGTGATTCTTCATCTCTGTTTAGAAGAAGTCTCCTTTGCTAAAAGGTGAGGCCCAATTCCTGTACCTGTCCTTTATTTTGAATATGCTTGAAGTGAAGTCATAAGTTTGAGCACACAACTGTGCCAGTTAGACTAGCCTGAGAAATCTGTAAGTGTTGGGCAGAACTGGTAACTCATTAGATATTTTATCACTAAAATCCTAGGACATGGTGAATGGAATCATGCCCATTGTGGACAAGTTGATCAAAGATCTGAAATCTAAAGAAATTCCTGAAGCCAGGGCCTATCTCCGAATCCTAGGAAAAGAGCTTGGCTTTGTCAGGCTCCAAGACCTCCAAGTCCTGGGAAAGCTGCTGCTGAATGGTGCACAAACTTTTCAGGGAGTCCCCCAGATGGTAAGTGACCCAGGTCTTATCTCAGCACTCACTGACTAGCCGGGTTCTTCTGAGATCCCCCAGCCTCACAAACCTGAGAAAGTTTTGGTAAATCCTTCAAAATACAAGTTTGCCCCAAATTTAAGTAAAGAGGACTTTTTGAGGGCTAAGAAGGGGGGCTCAATCAATAAAGTTTGACCTGATCTGAAGACTGACCTGGGTTCAGACACCAGAAACTACATTTAAAAAGCATATTGTGGTGGCATACTCTGATCATTTAAGCTCTGGGAAGATAGACATAGGCAGATCCCTGGGATTTTATGGCAGACCAGCTTAGCCAAATCAGCAAGCTCCAAGTGAAACTGAGAGTTCCTGTCTCCAAAACCAAGGTATCCTAAAGAATGACATCGGAGGTTGGTGTGGTCTATGCACACATATATACATACACACTCACATACATATGTACACATGTAAACATGCATATACATGTACCCACAGTCTTAAAAGGTAAAGTGGCTGGGTAGATGGCTCAGAGGGTAAAGTGATTGCTATGTAAGCATAAGGACCTGAGATTGAATCTCCAATGCTTGTGTAAAAGCCATTCCCATAATGGTCCAAGTGGTGAGGTAAGAGACAGACAGATTCTGGTAATTCATTGGTCAGCTAGCCTGGCCAAAACAGAGAAGCTTCAGTGAGAGACCTTGCCAAAGAACAGAAAATGGTAAAGAAAAACACTCAGCATTAACTTCTGGCCTCACAGTTAAATGCATATGTACACATAAGGGCACGTACACACATGCACACACACACACACACACACACACAAACACCATATATGCACAAAACTCTTCTCAAGAAGGTTGATGATTCTTATTATCTAAAAAAAACTTGTACCATTTGGAAACAAAACCATCATAATAGTTATATCTTTCAAGCATATTAGCTTGATCTTTTATTTTGATTAGAAAACAATTTTCAACATACCTTCCTCCACCTAGGCTGGCAGCTTTTTCAAATATTGAAGTGATACAATAATTATAAAATAACGTTTATAGAAAACTGTAACCCACTATTGACATTTGTGTTATATTTATATTATATAAGTTTATCAAAAAAGGGGGAGGGGAACAAATATGTTCCCTATGATTAGATAAATAATCATGTTGGCTTTAAGAACAAAGGTCCCAAGAGCTGGGGGTGTAACTCAGAAACACAGAGGTCACATAGCATTGAAAAGCCTGGGTTCTATCTCATGCTCTCTGAAAGGAAGAAAGAAAAAGAACACACGCCTCAAGTTCTTTTGTAAAAATGTTACATTAAAAACAAACAACAACAAGATTTGATGTATATTAACACAGACATTGCTTCATAGCCACTAACTTTCCCAAAGTTGACTTTACCATAATATAATGCACTTCTGGTAAAATCTCATTTGCAATCAAATTTTTACAAGAGGAGAATAATGTCATACATCATACTTAAAGTTCACAAAGCTGTGAGGTTCAGCTAGGGACCTCTAAATCAGCAGTTTAAAATGACATGACATTCAAGCCAGAGAAACTGCTTATACCCGATGTGTTGACACCAGTAACCATGAACTTACATCCAACGGATCTTCCAGATAATCAAAATGTACTAGTTCCACTCTTTCTAAATAAAGAGGCATTGCTGTGTGGCATTACAAGACCACACTTAACACAACTCACCCACATCCAGCTTACTGCAAATTGTTGTCTCTTGGATTTTTCAGGTTTTACAGGCCATCAGAGATGGGTCAAAGAATGACTTGTTTCTCCACTACATCTTCATGGAGAATGCCTTTGAGCTCCCCACTGGAGTAGGGTTACAGCTGCAAGTGTCCTCATCTGGAGTCCTCACCCCTGGGATCAAGGCTGGTGTGAGACTGGAATTAGCCAACGTAAGACTCTACATTGATTTCAATCAAATCTACGACTGTTTCTTTTCCTTCAGGGTGGGATTCTTGCACACATGTATAAGACATGTTCCACTTCAAGGCCAAGTGCATCATGATTACAATCTTCTTGCTCATTTTTATGAGGAATTTTAGGATTCTACCAACACATATCATCTCTCAACATCTCTACTTGAGATGCCGTAATGGAAAGAGAAACCAGCTGTTCTCTCAATGAAGGAAGACCCTAGTTATCTTTACATCTGATAGTACTTAAAGTCAGTTCAGGCTCTTCCTAGGCCTGAAAAATGCACCCTGGCTCTGGGGAAATTGAATGTTTCAGCTTTTCTTCCTAAAAGCACAGTTGTAGTCCCTGTGACAAAAATTAGCGGAGGCATTTGCCAGGGTTCAAAAAGAGGGGTTGAGCTGTCTGTCAGGGTGCTGAGGTGCTGCATGAAACTGAACAAGTCACTTTTCCGACTTCCAGATTCAGGCAGAGCTAGTGGCAAAACCCTCTGTGTCCTTGGAGTTTGTGACAAATATGGGCATCATCATCCCGGACTTCGCTAAGAGCGGTGTCCAGATGAATACCAACTTCTTCCACGAGTCAGGCCTGGAGGCTCGAGTGGCCCTGAAAGCTGGGCAGCTGAAGGTCATCATTCCTTCTCCAAAGAGGCCAGTCAAGCTGTTCAGTGGCAGGTAAATCTGTCACCAAGGTCTATCTGGACTGTTTGAGAGTATTGGGTGTGGATCTGCATGGGTTAGCCAGGCTAGACAACAACTGGGTAATCCAAGCTCCTGTGAAACAGGAGAAGATTGACTTTTTCTCTGCTTTGCATATTTCACTAAAGGTTTTTATGCCTCTCTTCATCAAACTTAGTATCTGCTGGTTAGTCAGTAGTTATGTGGCTATGGAGTTCTGTTTAGTTTCATAATCACATGATTATAGGATCCAGCCTTACATTCAAAGTTCTACTTTGAATGGTATCCTCAACACATTCATTTCCTTGCTCAGAAATATCACTTAATTGTCCAGTTTGAGTCAATCTCGTTGAAGGAGAAGCACAAGGACCCTTATCTTCTAAATTTTAACTCAACAAGGAAGGCATGCACATAATCGAATGGTGGTAATGAGTCATGGGATGACTGAGAGGAAGAGTAGTATACTGTGAAATCATAGATCATGAAGTCTTTGGGATTCAGAGTGATCAAAAAAGAATAACCCATTTTTGATCTTATAGAAGGTTTACATCAGAGTTACTCAAGCAAAAGAGAAAGGAGTGTGTGTCCGTGCAAAGAGTAAAGTATTTGTAATGGCTCCAAAGATAATGAAAATGACTGGAAGAGCTAAGACAGGCTGAGTTAGTAAAGAACACAGGAAACATAAGGAAGCTCTAGTGGGAAAGGGTAGCCCATCTTGGGCCGTGGATAGCCTCCTAAGTCCCTGGAAAGTATGGAGACTCTTCTGAAGCCAGAGGGATTGAGGAGTATAATTAGGATGAGCTAGAGTTTCTGGAGAGCAAAAAAGGTAAAAGGTAAATAAGACTGGAGATCTGTTAGAGGAAAGGAGATGGGGGCTTGTATTAGAGGAATATTTAGAGAGAAGTATAGAAGCTCTAGAAATTGTAAGGAAGTAGAAAACTGAGTGTTTGACAATTGACTGGTTATGGGGTAAAGAGACAGGACCTTCACTGAAATAGGAAACATAGAGACAGAGAAAGGGGGGAGAGAGGAAGAGGGAGAGGGAGAAGGAGAAGAAGAGGGAAGTGGAGAGGGAGAAGAGGAGAGAGATGAGAGAGATGAGAAAGAATTCTGTACTTGGAGTGAGATGGTGGGTTGCTACTATGAAACAACTAATTTAACCCCTAATCCACAAATGGACCTATGGGTCTGAGCCCAGTCAAAAGATAGACATGGAGAAGCAAGACCAAATAACAGTTTGTGTAGGACAAGAATCAAGAAACTAGGTCTAGAAGACAGATAATATAAACATGTGAAATGGAGGGAGCGGTAAATAAGAAACAGTGCTAAGGGATGCAAAGTAGACATACCCTAAACAGATTGTCACTGGCACATCAGAAAAGTTTGGCTTAAGACACCACCAAAAGCAGGGATGGGGGTCCTGAAGAAAGCACATAATCCAAAGAAGAAACTAGGGCATGGTTTGAATTGGTTCTATTTTCTCCTTTTGAAAGTACATCTCTAAAGTGTCACAAAGTTTAGAGAGCTTAAACTCTAGTATCTCAACCTGGATATGAGTGAGGAGTAAAGGAATTTCAAGAACACACACACACACGCACACACAGAGTCGTTGGATTGCAGAGCAAGGGGAAATTGGCAAGCATTTACAGGGGCTAAGAGAGGGGGAGTTAGTAAAAGGCGTTAAGGTGTTTGGAGAGAACACTGCAAGGAGGAAAACTTTTTGATTGTGAAGGAGACAAAATAGGGCTGAGAAGGAAAGAGATATGTAATGGGGGTCAGAGTGTTTGGTGCACAGGTGCCAGCACCTGAGCATTTGTGTGCTAGTAGAAAGAACTCAGAATGTAAGAAACCTTGCATGTGAAAGAAGCAGAGTTCCCAGTTGTCCACCTTCATCTGAGCCCTACTCTCCAAATTTCTTTTTCCAATGTAAACTGGGAATCTGAGGCCTGGACTGGAGGGATAAAAGGTAATGCAGACAAAGCAGCCAGTGTTACATCTGAAACCTGAGGGTCCTTACAATCATTTGGTTGATGCTCTTTGGACTCATAGCTCTTTCTCAGTAAACCAAATAATGTGAGGTAGGTTTGAACAAAAGAGAGAAGTAGAGGCTGGAGCATGTGCATGGTGAGATTCAGCAATAAGCATTTCAGTTTACAAATCAAAGACAATCTGCCTTTTCATTCTTCGCCAGCAACACACTGCATCTGGTCTCGACCACCAAAACGGAAGTGATCCCACCTCTGATTGAGAACAGGCAGTCATGGTTGACTTGCAAGCCTTTCTTCACTGGCATGAACTACTGCACCACAGGGGCTTACTCCAATGCCAGCTCCACAGAATCTGCCTCTTACTACCCTCTGACAGGGGACACAAGGTAAGAGATCTTCAGTGCTGACTCAGCATCTGCTTACCGTATACCTGGAGGGACAAAGAGAAAAATACCACGGATTGTAGGTCCATGTTACCAATCTTAAGAGTTCACATCATCTTTTGGGAGCTTCAAACAGTGGTCCTCTGGCCACCACTTTGGGTTCCTCCTTGATACTCTTCATACACTGGATGAGGTGGTCACAGCAGCTTCCAGTCTGCCCATTCCTTTTCAGAGTCTCTAGAACCATTGTATAAGGTTTGTGAAGCTGACCAGTGTGCTCAAAGACCTCACAACACTTTGAGGGTCATCATCATCCTTCACCCCTTATTCTCACTATTTGCTCTTAGCATGACAGGCATGGGTCAATATTTCAACTCATGCAAGAGCCCTGGGGATGCTTGCCCTTGGGTGCTTCCCTTGCCCAGTGCTTTTGGGGAGATTAAGTAAAACCATTAAGATCATCACTAGCTAAGAGCATGAGATGATGTTAAAACCATACATGTGGTTTTTGTGGTGTGTGAGTCTGGATGGTTGGAGGGATGGTATTGTCATCTTTTAAAAAGCTAATAGTATGCACTGGATACAATGTGATGTCTTTAGGTATGAGCTGGAGCTGAGGCCCACAGGAGAGGTGGAGCAGTATTCTGCCAGTGCAACCTATGAACTTCTAAAAGAGGATAAGTCTTTGGTTGACACACTGAAGTTTCTAGTACAAGCAGAAGGTAAGTATCCCAAATAAAGCTACTGTATATCTGTCTCAGTCTTGGATTCTGGACTTACAAAGGGGACATCTTTATGACGATGAATTAGACACGTATTTCCTGAGTTCCCAGTAAGTGTCGGGCTTTTCTTAGAACTGAGGCTAGAAATGAAGTCTTCACCTTCATAGAAGATATAGTAAACAACTAAGCAAGTATTCATGATGTCAAAAACAGTGGTGAGGGGGAGAAAACAGAGTGTAGAAGGCTCTAGTCCAGTGGTTCTCAACCTTCCTAATGCTTATAAACCTTTAATACAATTCCTTACGTTGTGGTGACCCCCAACCATAAAATTATTTTCATTGCTACCTCATAACTGTAATTCTGCTGCTAGGAATCCTAATGTAAATACCTGAGATGTGACCCCCCCCCCCAGGAGTCATGACCCACAGGTTGAGAAACTCTGCTCTAGGGACTAGTTTATGTAGAGGGAAAAAGGAAGATGGTGGAAACACTAAAGAGAATGATAGAGGAATTTTCACTGGTAGGTAACATGAAATTTGTTGTATTTGTTTTGTTTGTTGAAATAGGGTTTCCTCATGTAGCTCTAGTTGTTCTGGAACTCACTCCGTAGACCAGGCTGGCCTCAAACTTGGAGATCCACCTGCCTCTGCCTCTTGAGTGCTGGAATAAAAGGCATGCTCCACCACCACTTAAAAATTGTTTTAAAAAGAGAAAAGGAGATGTGATACAATGGAAATAAGAAAGGCCATAGGAGAAAGAGTTTCAGACTAAGGGACCAGAATGTGTAAATACTCTGAGGTTGGAACATGTTAAGGAAAGATGGAAAGGACGCAGAACTGAGAATCTAGTGTGTGAGTGATTTCAGTAATCCAGTCAAGAAGTGGAGTTGTCTGAATTAGAGTAAATTTTCAGGACATTAAACCAGTAGTGGGGAGAGAAGGCAGCAGAGACTGGTTCAGAACTTTATGGGCTGCTGTGGAGAGAGAGGGTTAGGAAGACAGTAAGGCAAGAATGATAAGCGATGGTGGAGATGTGAGAGGTTATCATATTCTTGCTATATTTTGAAGAATGAAAGCTTGCATTCCCTGAACATCTGAGCATTGCCCATCAGGTCTTTGCCTGCTTGCCCCCCACCCATAACTCAGCATGGCTTGTTAGTCCTCTCTTAACCATGCCCTTGTCTATATACAATGTACCATACCACATACCACAACAGGAAGACATTTTGTAACCATCGTGTAGGAAATAGCTTCCTCTCTACCTCTTGTCCTCATAACCCATTCCCCATGTCTTTATGATATTTACTGCCATCTAACACAGGTAACTGATTTGCTTACTGTCTGCAGACTCCACTGACAACTATAAGATGAACCGTACAAGGGCTGGGTACACTAGTGCTGAGAACAGTCCCTAGCTCATGATAAGCCACCAGTAAATACTTGAAAATTGAGCTAATGGATAATACATAGTCAATGGGAAAATCTTAACTAGTGTCAGTGAAACCCACAGTAGTCAGGATCTCGTGGCTTTCTCCTCTGCCTCTTTTTAATTTGCGTAGCCACATAGTACCCATTTCTTAACTCTGTCCTATACTCTTTCAGGAGTACAGCAGTCTGAAGCTACTGCAATGTTCAAATATAATCGACAAAGCAGGACCTTATCTAGTGAAGTCCTAATTCCAGGGTTTGATGTCAACTTTGGGACAATCCTAAGAATTAATGATGAATCTGCTAAGGACAAAAACACTTACAAAGTCATCCTGGACATTCAGAACAAGAAAATCACCGAGGTCTCTCTCGTGGGCCACCTGAGGTAAAGAAAGGTTTAGGAGACCTGAGCTGAGCTGGAGGCCCTGGTGGCTCTTTGATTTCTTCTTCAAACTTTCTATCTGCCTGCACCAGGGGCACTTCTGCTATACAGTCTATCTGAAAATATAGTTCTCAACATTTTTACCCTTTGCAATACTCAGTTGGATGTTTCTGTTATTCAACCAGCACTTGTTATTTATTTATCAAGTATTTGCTGGGTGAATTAAAAATTGTCTCAGTCCCATGTCTCTATTTATTGACAACGACATGATAGTTTGGAGTGGTCTAATTGCTTGGCCAAGGCTAGAGAAAAAGTATGAAAATGTTTTCTACAAAGTTTATCTACCTCCCTGCAAACTCCACACTTCATGCTGAATATTGGCTTTATAAGTTAATGGGTTGGATATATGTATGGTTAGATCTCTGATTTGTTTATGTATGTGGTTTTTATCAATGAAACTTCTAATTATTGAGTCCTATGTACCTACGTCCTTGGAACGGACAAAAATCATTGATGTCAACTTGTTTCTTTTTCAATAGTTATGACAAAAAGGGTGATGGCAAGATCAAAGGCATTGTTTCCATACCACGTTTGCAAGCAGAAGCCAGGAGTGAGGTCCACACTCACTGGTCCCCCACCAAACTGCTCTTCCAAATGGACTCATCTGCTACAGCTTATGGCTCAACAATTTCCAAGAGAGTGGCATGGCGTTATGGTATGTATCTCTTCCATCATGCGAGCCCTTCCCAGAGCACTGTGTGCTTAAGAGTAGCTACTGAGAGCAACAGACATGAACTTATCTAACACCACTGACAGCCATGTTACATGCACATTTTCAGATAATGAGAAAATTGAATTCGATTGGAATACAGGAACCAATGTGAATACCAAAAAGGTGGCCTCCAATTTCCCCGTGGATCTTTCCCGTTATCCTAGAACGTTGCATGAGTACGCTAATAATCTCCTGGATCACAGAGTCCCTCAAACAGATGTGACTTTCCGGCACGTGGGTTCCAAATTAATTGTTGTAAGTATGATCATGCAGCAGAATAAATACATGACTGTAGATGCTAACTAAATCACCAATTGAGCTGGGTGAAGAAGTATTCAACGATTCATACACAAGCTTGAATGGCTAATTTCCCAGTCACATAAAGCTGATTGGGACAAATATCCAATGGAGTCACTAAGCAGAAGATTTTTTGTGTTAAAAAAAAAAACTTCCAAACACTGGCTAGGGGGTTAACTATGTCATATTATACAAACGTACTTACATACACATACATACATACATACATACATACATACATACATACATAGAGGAAGGAGGGAGAAGAGGATGGCTCAGTCAGTAAAGTGTTTGCTGTACAAGCATTAAGATCTGTGTTAGATCCATATCCCCCTCATGGGAAGATAGGCAAGTGGTATACATGTGTGATCCCACCACAAAGTGGTCAGAGACAGATGAATCCCTGAGACTCACTGTCCAGACCAATTGACAAGTCCCAGGCCCCAGTGAGAGACCTAAACTCAAAACAACAAACAAGGTAACTAGTGTTAAAGAAGGAAGGATGCCTGAGGTTGACCTTTGGTTTCATGTACTCTTCTAAACACATACACATGTATACACATGGACACACAACTACACACACACACACACACACACACACACACATACACACACACACACACACACACACAAATAAACTAGCAAAAACAATTACAGAGAAATCAGGGACTAGAAATTTATACTTTCCTGTAACATATTTTTAACTTTTAATGCATCATCCTGCCCCTGCTTGATAACTGGTCTGCAAGCATGAACTGTCAGCTCATGTTAATTCTACTTGGAGGTCTATTCAGACCCATTTCTTGCTCTAAAACTGTCCTTTCTTTTTGTAGGCAACAAACACATGGCTTCAGATGGCAACCAGGGGTCTTCCTTACCCCCAAACTCTACAAGATCACCTCAATGGCCTCTCAGAGTTGAACCTCCAGAAACTGGGATTTCCTGACTTCCATATCCCAGACAACCTCTTCTTAAAGACGTAAGAGGGGACTAAAGAGCGTTATCTTTGTACTGTGCAAGGAAATGAGAACGTTTTACCTAGCCATTTTTGTTGAAAACTTTCAGAGGAATTACTTAGGCACTTGAAAACAATGAGCAGCTACAAGTAAACTCTGGTTTTTCCATCAGTAAAAATGAGGTCCCAATGTGAACACCAGCCCAGTATGGAGAACTTCAGAAAATGATTAAAGATTCTGAAAATCCTGTTTATTAATGGTACATCTATAACCACCCAAGTTTGCAAGGCATTCAAACTCAGCTATGGAGGGTCAGAACAGTCACTGAGCATTAGGTACTTATTTTTAGGAGATGATTAGCCACACACCCTAATTCTAATAGAAGATCCAGAAGCACACTGCTCACTCCATTTCTGTGTTAATAAATATGTGCGTAATACTTTATTTATTTCATGGAAAAAAGAGCGGAGCGTGAGCTAAGAAGACAATGTTTCCTAACTCAATGATCTTGGTATAATCCTCACAATTCAGAATCTCAAAAGCCCCGTGTTATATGGGCCCTCAGTGTGCTGTGGCTTAGGAGCACAATTGAACATGCTTGATTACTAGGATAAAGCTGAAATCTTCCCAAGCCCCAAACAGACCAAAATTGCTGAAGATAAAATGTGTTCTTTACAACTGGAATTCCAGTATGTGGGACTAGAGCAGGACTTTAATAGTAATCATTCATCCACCTGCTAAGTGTGGGGCTCAGAGCAGGCAGCAGCCTTCCCATATTACTGTAGTACACAGTGAATGGTCGTTCAAATATAACAAATACCACCTACTTTATTTTTATAGGCCATCCACATAGTCCACTGCATGTTGGACTGAAAAGATTGCAAAGCTCCTTTGATACCTCGAAGCAATTTCTGGGGTTCAGCAGAAAGGGTACTATCCAGATAACATCTCTAAGACCCAGAAAGGCTAATCCTAACATTCCCAATTAATGGAAGCTAAAACTATCACCCACTTTTTTTGACTCTTACATCCTTGTTCTTTTATATATCAACTTGCTTCTATTAGGCTTACCAAATACTTATCAAGTACTCACAATATGAAAAACAGTAAAGTAGAAACAGTAAGAAGACAGAAACTGAGTATGGTTTTGTCCTTTCTACCAGGAAGATACCTTGCAGATACCAAAAAATAAATCAACAAATAACTATATAAGCAGAGTTAGGATGTTCTCTTTAAGACTGATATAAGGGGCCATAATGATACAGAGGTGGCTCTTGAAAGGGTTTTGGAAGGGTTGGGGAGGCAGAGGAAAAGGAAAGAGATCCAAGCATAAGAAATACCCTGGTGAAAAGAACATAGTGGACTGGGGGAGGGCAAGTGTAATCTTGATGAAGCAGTCAAACAGAGAGTCTTGATTTCTTAATGTCTGACTGTGGGGACACTGTCTTTGTTCATTTCAGTGATGGCCGAGTCAAATACACACTGAACAAGAACAAAATAAAGATTAGCATCCCTTTGCCTTTGGGTGGCAAGTCTTCAAAAGACCTCAAGATGCCAGAGAGTGTAAGGATACCAGCCCTCAACTTCAAGCCTGTAGGATTTCATCTGCCATCTCGAGAGTTCCAGGTCCCCACTTTTACAATCCCCAAGACACACCAGCTGCAAGTGCCTCTCTTGGGTGTTCTAGATCTTTCCACAAATGTCTACAGCAACTTGTACAACTGGTCAGCCTCCTACACTGGTGGCAATACCAGCAGAGACCACTTCAGCCTTCAGGCTCAATACCGCATGAAGGCTGACTCCGTAGTTGACCTGTTTTCCTACAGTGTGCAAGGTGAGGCCTGCTCAGGAAACGGGACCATAGGGCTAATGTATCACACATTCTGATGGGAAAGCTCTAGGAAGAAAGGATTTGGGCTTTCCTGTAGATGCTTTTTGTTGTTGTTTGGCTTTGTTTGCTTGTTTGTTTTTGGCTTGTTTGCTTTGCTACTTGGAAGTCATTTCATTCGTTCAACAAATGAAAATATTTATTAAGCATATGGTATTTTTAATCTGTTAGATAGTAATAATAAAGCAGCCATATAGCTGAGTAATTATAATTAAGAAACACTATGCTACAGTATATGCTATACAGTATGAGGTACAGTAGAAGCATTTGATAAGAGAACCCAACAAAGTCTGTAGCAACCAAGGAAGGGTAACTGGAAGAATGCCTTTGATATCTTATATATATATAAGATATATATAAAATATATTATATATATCATATTATAATATTATAATATGATATATATAATATAATATATATTATAAATGTCACAATTACACAATTGATACAGCTATGTATAAGGTTCCTACTGAAAGATTTTCAACATAAAGGTTGTTGTAGAAATTTATTACTTAATTTAACCAATATCTTTGATTTTTCTGTTAGGATCTGGAGAAACAACATATGACAGCAAAAGCACATTCACATTATCATGTGACGGATCTCTACACCATAAATTTCTAGATTCAAAATTCAAAGTCAGCCATGTAGAAAAATTTGGAAACAACCCCGTCTCAAAAGGTTTACTAACGTTTGAAACATCTAGTACCTTGGGACCACAGATGTCTGCAACTGTTCACCTGAACTCAAAAAAGAAACAACATCTGTATGTCAAAGACATCAAGGTTGAGGGACAATTCAGAGCATCTTCATTTTATGCTCAAGGCGAATATGGCCTGTCTTATGAGAGAGATGCTACAAATGGCCAGATGAGTGGTGAATCCAACACAAAATTTAAGTCCACCTACTTCCAGGGCACCAACCAGATTGTGGGAATGTACCAGGATGGAACCCTCTCCATCACCTCCACCTCTGACCTACAAGACGGCATATTCAAGAACACAGCTTCCCTGAAATATGAAAACTATGAGCTGACTCTGAAATCTGACAGCAGTGGGCAGTATGAGAACTTTGCTACTTCCAATAAGCTGGACATGACCTTCTCTAAGCAAAGCGCATTGCTGCGTTCTGAACACCAGGCTAATTACAAGTCCCTGAGGCTTGCCACCCTTCTTTCAGGATCTCTCACTTCCCAGGGTCTAGAATTAAATGTTGACATCTTGGGCACTGACAAAATTAATACTGGTGCTCACAAGGCAACGCTAACAATTGCACGAGATGGACTATCTACCAGTGCAACTACCAACTTGAAGTACAGTCCCCTGCTGCTGGAGAATGAGTTGAACGCGGAGCTTGGGCTCTCTGGGGCATCCATGAAATTATCAACAAATGGCCGCTTCAAAGAACACCACGCAAAATTCAGTCTTGATGGGAGAGCTGCCCTCACGGAGGTGTCATTGGGAAGCATTTACCAGGCCATGATTCTGGGTACAGACAGCAAAAATATCTTCAACTTCAAACTCAGCCGAGAAGGGCTGAAGCTGTCCAATGAGATGATGGGCTCCTTTGCTGAAATGAAACTCGACCACATACATAGTCTGAACATTGTCGGTCTCTCACTGGACTTCTCCTCAAAAATGGACAATATTTACAGTGGAGACAAGTTTTATAAGCAGAATTTTAACTTACAGCTACAGCCCTATTCTTTTGTAACTACTTTAAGCAATGACCTGAGATATGATGCTCTAGATTTGACCAACAGTGGAAGGTTACGGCTGGAACCACTGAAACTGAATGTGGGTGGCAACTTTAAAGGAACATATCAAAATAATGAACTGAAACACATCTATACCATCTCTTATTCTGACCTGGTAGTAGCAACTTACAGAGCAGACACTGTAGCTAAGGTTCAGGGTGTGGAGTTCAGCCATAGACTAAATGCAGTCGTTGAAGGGCTGGCTTCCTCTGTTGATGTCACTACCGGCTACAATTCAGATCCACTGCATTTTAACAATGTTTTCCACTTTGTCCTGGCACCATTTACCTTGGGCATCGACACGCATACGAGTGGTGATGGGAAACTGTCCCTCTGGGGAGAACATACTGGGCAGCTGTATAGTAAGTTTCTGTTGAAAGCGGAACCTCTGGCACTTGCTTTCTCTCATGACTACAAAGGATCCACAAGCCACAATCTCCTGTACAAGAACAGCATCAGCACAGCTCTTGAACACACAGTCGGTGTCTTGCTGACACCAGCTGAACAGACAAGCACCTGGAAATTCAAGACCAGACTGAATGACAAGGTATACAGCCAGGACTTTGAAGCCTACAACACTAAAGACAAAATAGGTGTTGAGCTTAGTGGACGGGCAGATCTCTCTGGGCTGGACTCTTCAATTAAACTTCCGTTTTTCTACAGTGAGCCTGTCAATGTCCCTAATGGCTTAGAGATAAATGATGCTGTTGACAGGCCCCAAGAATTCGAAATTGTTGCTATGGTGAAGTACGATAAGAACCAGGATGTTCACACCATCAGCCTCCCATTCTTCAAAAGCCTGCCAGATTATTTGGAGAGAAATCGAAGAGGAATTATAAGTCTACTGGAAGCCATGCAGAGGGAATTACAACGCCTCAGTGTTGATCAGTTTGTGAGGAAATACAGAGCGGCCCTGAGCAGACTTCCTCAGCAGATTCATGATTATCTGAATGCATCTGACTGGGAGAGACAAGTAGCTGGTGCCAAGGAAAAATTAACTTCTTTCATGGAAAATTATAGAATTACAGATAATGATGTACTAATTGCCTTAGACAGTGCCAAAATCAACTTCAATGAAAAACTCTCTCAACTTGAGACATACGTGATACAATTTGATCAGTATATTAAAGATAATTATGATCCACATGACTTAAAAAGAACTATTGCTCAGATTATTGATCTAATCATTGAAAAGTTAAAAATTCTTGATGAACAGTATCATATCCGTGTAAATCTAGCAAAATCAATCCATAATCTATATTTATTCGTTGAAAATGTTGATCTTAATCAAATCAGTAGTAGTAGCGCCTCTTGGATCCAAAATGTGGATACCAAATATCAAATCAGAACTCAAATACAAGAAAAACTACAGCAGCTCAGGACACAAATTCAGAATATAGACATTCAACAGCTTGCTGCAGAGGTAAAACAACAGATTGAAGCTATTGATGTCACAATACATTTAGATCAATTGAGAACTGCAATTCTATTCCAAAGAATAAGTGACATTATTGAGCGTGTCAAATATTTTGTTATGAATCTTATTGAAGATTTTAAAGTAATTGAGAAAATCAATACTTTTAGAGTTATAGTCCGTGAGCTAATTGAGAAATATGAAGTAGACCAACAAATCCAGGTTTTAATGGATAAATCAGTGGAGTTGGCTCACAGATACAGCCTGAGTGAGCCTTTTCAGAAACTAAGTAATGTGCTACAGCAAATTGAGATAAAAGATTACTATGAAAAATTGGTTGGGTTTATTGATGATACTGTCGAGTGGCTTAAAGCATTGTCTTTCAAAAATGTCATTGAAGAACTAAATAGATTTATTGACACGTTGGTGAAGAAGTTGAAAGCATTTGATTATCACCAGTTTGTAGACAAAACCAACAGCAAAATCCGTGAGATGACTCAGAGAATCAATGCTGAAATCCAAGCTCTCGAACTTCCACAGAAAACTGCAGCATTAAAACTGTTGATAGAAGACTTCAAAACCACAGTCTCCAACCATCTAGAAAGACTCAAGGACACGAAAGTAACTGTGGTCGTTGATTGGCTGCAGGATGCCTTGACTCAAATAAAAGCCCATTTCCAAGATACTCTAGAAGATGTACGAGACCGAATTTATCAAATGGACATTCAGTGGGAACTGGAGCACTGCTTGTCTCTGATAAGCCAAGTTTACAGTACACTGGTCACCTATATTTCTGATTGGTGGACTCTGACTGCTAAAAACATAGCAGACTTCGCAGAGCAATATTCTATCCAAAACTGGGCTGAGAGTGTGAACGTACTTGTGGAACAAGGATTCACAGTTCCTGAAATCCAAACATTTCTGGGGACCATGCCTGCATTTGAGGTCAGTCTCCGTGCTCTCCAAGAAGCTAACTTTCAGACACCTGACTTTATAGTCCCCTTGACAGATTTGAGGATTCCATCAATTCAGATAAACTTCAAAATGTTAAAAAATATAAAAATCCCATTGAGATTTTCCACTCCAGAATTCACTCTTCTCAACACCTTCCATGTCCATTCCTTTACAATTGACTTGCTGGAAATAAAAGCAAAGATAATTAGAACTATCGACCAAATGCTGAGCAGTGAGCTACAGTGGCCTCTTCCAGAAGTGTACTTGAGAGACCTGGAGATGGTGAACATTCGTCTTGCAAGACTCACTCTGCCAGACTTCCATGTACCAGAAATCACAATTCCAGAATTCACAATCCCAAATGTCAATCTCAAAGATTTACAGGTTCCTGATCTTCACATTCCAGAATTCCAGCTTCCTCGCCTCTCACACACCATGGAAATACCTGCTTTTGGCAAACTGCATAGCATCCTGAAGATCCAATCTCCTCTCTTTAGATTAGATGCTAATGCCAACATACAGAATGTAACTACTTCAGAGAACAAAGCAGAGATTGTGGCTTCTGTCACTGCTAGAGGAGAGTCCAAATTGGAAGCTCTCAATTTTGATTTTCAAGCACAAGCTCAATTCCTAGAGTTAAATACTAATCCTCTGGTCATGAAGGAATCCATGAACTTCTCCAGTAAGCATGTGAGAATGGAACATGAGGGTGAGATATTATTTTCTGGAAAGGCCATTGAGGGAAAAGCAGATACTGTCGCAAGTTTACACACAGAGAAAAATACAGTAGAGTTTAATAATGGTATAATTGTCAACATAAACAATCAGCTCACCCTTGAGAGTCACACAAAGTACTTCCACAAGTTGAGTGTCCCCAGCCTGGACTTCTCCAGTAAGGCTTCTCTTAATAATGAAATCAAGACACTATTAGAAGCTGGACATGTGGCATGGACCTCTTCGGGGACAGGGTCATGGAACTGGGCCTGTCCCAACTTCTCGGATGAAGGCATACATTCGTCCCAAATTAGCTTTACTGTGAACGGCCCCGTTACTTCTTTTGCTTTTTCAAATAACATAAATGGCAAACACCTAAGGGTCATCCAAAAACTGACTTACGAATCTGGCTTCATCAACTATTCTAAGTTTGAAGTTGACTCAAAAGTTGAATCTCAGCACATGGGCTCCAGCATTCTAACTGCCAAAGGTCAGGCACTGCTCAGGGATGCAAAGGCAGAAATGACTATTGAGCACAAGGCCAGCCTAAATGGAAAAGTTATTGGAACTTTGAAAAATTCTCTTTTCTTTACAGCACAACCATTTGAGATTACTGCATCCACAAATAATGAAGGAAATTTGAAAGTTAGTTTTCCTCTAAAGTTGACTGGGAAAATAGACTTCCTGAATAACCATGCATTGTTTCTGAGTCCCCATGCCCAACAAGCAAGCTGGCAAGCAAGTGCTAGATTCAATCAGTACAAATACAGTCAAAATTTTTCTGCTATTAACAATGAACACAACATAGAAGCCAGTATAGGAATGAATGGAGATGCAAATCTGGATTTCTTAAACATTCCTTTAACAATTCCTGAAATTAATCTACCTTACACCAGGTTCACAACTCCCTTGCTAAAGGATTTCTCCATATGGGAAGAAACAGGCTTGAAAGACTTTTTGAAGACAACAAAACAATCATTTGATATGAGTGTAAAGGCTCAATATAAAAAGAACAGAGACAAGCATTCCATTGTTATCCCTCTGAGTGTGTTTTATGAGTTTGTTCTCAACAATGTCAATTCTTGGGACAGAAAATTTGAGAAAGTCAGAGACAATGCATTACATTTTCTTACCACATCCTATAATGAAGCAAAAATTAAGTTTGATGAGTACAAAACTGAAAATTCCCTCAATCAACCCTCTGAGACCTTTCGAAATCGTGGATACACTATCCCAGTTGTCAACATTGAAGTATCTCCATTTGCTGTAGAGACACTGGCATCTAGCCATGTGATCCCCAAAGCAATCAGCACCCCAAGTGTCATAATTCCAGGTCCTAACATCATCGTGCCTTCATACAGATTAGTGCTGCCATCTTTAGAGTTGCCAGTTTTTCATGTTCCTAGGAATCTACTCAAGTTTTCTCTCCCAGATTTCAAGGAATTGAGCACTATTGACAATATTTATATTCCAGCCATGGGCAATTTTACCTATGACTTTTCTTTTAAATCAACTGTCATCACACTGAATACCAATGCTGGACTTTATAACCAATCAGATATTGTTGCCCATTTCCTTTCTTCCTCTTCATTTGTCACGGATGCCCTCCAGTACAAATTAGAGGGTACATCACGTCTAACACGGAAAAAAGGGTTGAAGCTCGCCACAGCTGTCTCTCTAACTAACAAATTTGTAAAGGGCAGTCATGACAGCACCATTAGCTTAGCCAAGAAAAACATGGAAGCATCAGTGAAAACAACAGCTAACCTCCATGGTCCCATTTTCACAATGAACTTCAAGCAGGAACTTAACGGAAATACCAAGTCAAAGCCCACTGTCTCATCATCCATGGAACTAAACTATGACTTCAACTCCACAAAGCTGCACTCTACTGCAAAAGGAGGTGTTGACCACAAGTTCAGCTTAGAAAGTCTCACTTCCTACTTTTCCATTGAGTCATTCACCAAAGGAAATATCAAGGGTTCTTTCCTTTCACAGGACTATTCAGGAAGTGTTGCCAGTGAGGCAAATGTATACCTGAATTCCAAAGGTACTCGGTCTTCAGTAAGGCTACAAGGAGATTCCAAAGTTGATGGTATCTGGCACTTTGAAGTAGGAGAAAATTTTGCTGTAGAAGCCACCCTCCTCCGACGCATCTATGCCACATGGGAACACAATATGAAAAACCATTTGCAGATGTACAGCTACTTCTTCACAAAAGGAAAGCAAACATGCAGAGCCACCCTGGACCTCTCCCCATGGACCATGTCAACCCTTCTACAGGTTCATGGGAGTCAACCCAGTTCCCTCCTTGACCTCCATCACTTTGACCAGGAAGTGATCCTGAAAGCTAACACTAAGAACCAGAAGGTCAACTGGAAAAGTGGGGTCCGGATTGAATCACAGATTCTTCAGCACAATGCACAGTTCTCCAATGACCAAGAAGAGGTACGCCTTGACATTTCAGGATCCTTAGAAGGACAGCTCTGGGACCTTGAAAATATCCTTGTACCAGTGTATGGAAAGAGCTTGCAGGAACTCCTACAGATGGACGGAAAACGACAGTATCTTCAAGCTTCAACTTCCCTTCTATATACCAAAAACCCCAATGGCTATCTCCTCTCACTCCCTGTACAAGAACTGGCTGATAGATTCATTATACCAGGACTAAAACTGAATGACTTCAGTGGAATAAAAATCTATAAGAAATTAAGTACTTCACCATTTGCCCTCAACCTAACAATGCTACCCAAAGTAAAATTCCCCAGGGTTGACCTGTTAACACGATACTCTAAACCAGAGGGCTCTTCTGTCCCTATTTTTGAGGCAATTATACCTGAAATACAGTTAACTGTGTCCCAGTTTACACTTCCAAAGAGCTTTCCAGTTGGCAGCACTGACTTTGATCTGAATAAGTTAGCCAACACGATTGCAGATGTTGATCTTCCTAGTGTCACCCTGCCAGAGCAGACCATTGAGATCCCATCCTTTGAGTTCTCCATACCTGCTGGAATTTTCATTCCTTTCTTTGGAGAACTGACTGCACGTGTTGGGATGGCTTCTCCCCTGTATAATGTCACTTGGAGCGCTGGTTTGAAAAACAAAACAGATCATGTTGAAACGTTCCTGGATTCCACGTGCACTTCAACCTTGCCGTTTCTGGAGTATGCTCTAAAAGGTAAGGAAATGTTCTTCCTCCTCTCCTGGATATTACATGTTTCCAACTGAGTTCTGAGTAAGTAACTGTGTATTTAATTAACATCAAAGGCACAATTGTTATCTATAGCATAATGTAGAACTACATGAAGAATGTGTATGTACCTCCATATATTCTTAAAACAAAACTAGAAAGCCTACTGACATTGAAGAACATCCCTTTAAATAGTTTTTGTCTGTTATAATTTAAGTACTAATAATACCTCCATTTTATTTAAATGAAAAAAATAGGGATTTGGAGTATTGCTCTGTGGAACACAACATTCTTGGCATATATGAGGCCCTGAGTTCAAACCCCAGTACTACCACAAAATAATAACAGTAATAATAGTAATGATAATAATAATAATTTTTAAAATCTATAGACTGCACATGATATGTTTAAAACTGGTACATATTTGGTTAAGATATCTGTCCTAGTTTTCACTACATACACACACATAAAATGATGTACCAATGACATACAAATTCTCTCCTATACAGTTGTGGAAACACACAAAATTGAAGATGATATGTTCATCTATAAGATCAAAGGAACACTTCAACACTGTGACTTCAATGTGGAGTATAACGAAGATGGTCTATTTAAAGGACTTTGGTATGAAAGTTTTATTGACATTTGGTGTCTTTTCAAAACTTGTGGTGCTTGCCATCTCTGGACCCCTTCTACTATGACTCCTCTGCTTTTCTGCTTTCAGGGACTGGCAGGGAGAGGCTCACCTGGACATCACCAGCCCAGCACTGACTGACTTCCATCTGCACTACAAAGAAGACAAGACAAGTCTGTCTGCCTCAGCAGCCTCTTCGGTCATAGGCACCGTGGGTCTGGATTCGAGCACAGATGATCAGAGTGTGAAGCTGAATGTCTACTTCCACCCTCAGGTGGGTCCCAGCTGATGAGTATCACATGCTCAAGAGCACGTGGGGAGCTAGAGATGATGCATCTTATTCTAGACAGTCCCTGAGAGCATGCTCAAAATAGATGAAAGACAAGTGGTAAGCTCAACATCTTCATTGAGGTACTACTGTCCTGAAAACATTATAGTCAATCTTTGCTGAGCTTAATTATTAGACACGCCCATGATACCCAATTAACTCTATTATTTTATGACTTCCTGGACAAAGATGAGGTCCATACCTCATCTCCCAAGGCATGCATAAACTCTGCCACATGAACATTTTTTTTTAAATTATGGTTTCTAGATTTTATTTTTGAGGCTTCATAATTCTTCCCTACAGTAAAACTGTTTGATTGAGGCACATCAAATACATATCATGTCATTTATAAGCTCTGCTGGGATTAAATCAAAGATGACATTGCTAAAAGGAAAGACATAAACCTAAAGCCTGTCACAAGTGTGGCAAATGGATGCTGAAGTTGGAATTGTTGGCTGGACTTTTCCTTCTTCATTATTCCAGAATGTGTCCTTCCCTGCCTCTTTCTTCCTTCTTCCTTCACCTTCTCTCAATTCTCCATTCAAGAAGGGCTTAGTGTTAAATATTATTAAATAGATACCACATATATCTTATTATCCTTCCTGGAGCATGTGATAAAGAGAAATTAACAACAGTGGGCCTGTTTAACCATAAACCATAAGTCATGTTAGTTCCCATGAACTAACATGGGAAAGATAAATTCCCCTTCAGAATACTGATGACCCTCCCCTCATCTTTACTTTTAAGTGCTAATTACTTCTTAATGTAGTATATTGTATAATCAGAGTCACTGAAAACATGGGGTTTTTTTTTATCTGTTTTGTTTTTCTGGTTTTAGTCCTCTCCAGATAAGAAACTCAGCATATTCAAAACTGAGTGGCGGAACAAGGAGTCTGATGGTAAAATGTACATCAAAATTAATTGGGAAGAAGAGGCAGCTTCCAGATTGCTTGGCTCCCTAAAAAGCAATGTACCTAAGGCTTCTGAGGCTATTTATGACTATGTCAATAAATACCACCTGGGATATGCTTCTTCAGAGCTAAGAAAAAGTCTACAAGACAATGCTGAACATGCCATAAGGATGGTTGATGAAATGAACGTGAATTTCCAGAGAGTAGCCCGTGATACATATCAGAATCTGTATGAGGAGATGTTGGCTCAGGAGAGCCAGAGCATCCCTGAGAAACTCAAAAAGAGGGTGTTAGGCAGTCTAGTAAGTGTTACTCAGAAGTACCACATGGTAGTAACACGGCTGATGGACTCATTCATTCATTTCCTGAAGTTCAATAGAGTCCGGTTGCCAGGTATTGCTGGAACGTATACTGTCGATGAACTCTACACTATAGTCATGAGGGAAATCAAGAAGTCACTGTCTCAGCTGTTTAGTGGGTTAGGAAACCTGTTTTCCTATGTTCAAGACCAAGTAGAGAAATCGAGATTAATCAATAACATAACATTTAACTGTCCTTTTTTCCTAAAACCTTGTAAACTAAAAGACGTCATATCGCTTTTCAAAGAGGACTTAAATATTTTATCAAACATAGTCCAACTGGATACCAAATTTACAACAATGCTAAGTGATCTTCAGAGGTTTTTGGAGAGACTTTTAGACATCATAGAAGAGCAAATTAAATGCCTAAAGGACAATGAATCTACTTGTGTCGCTGATTATATCAACGTATTCTTCAAAATACAGGTTCCATATGCTTTTAAATCCCTAAGAGAAGACATATACTCTGTCTTCAGTGAATTTAATGACTTTTTTCAATCCATACTTCAGGAAGGGTCCTACAAACTACAGCAGGTCCATCAGTATATGAAGGCCCTTCGTGAAGAGTATTTTGATCCAAGCATGGTTGGCTGGACAGTAAAATACTATGAAATAGAAGAAAAGATGGTGGACCTGATCAAGACCCTTTTAGTCTCCCTTAGGGATTTCTACTCTGAATACAGTATGACAGCTGCTAATTTTGCTTCCAAAATATCAACTCAAGTTGAACAATTTGTGTCCAGGGATATCAGAGAATATCTCAGCATGCTTGCTGACATAAATGGAAAGGGGAGTGAAAAGATTACAGAGCTTTCTATTGTGGCAAAGGAAGCAATGGAAAGCTGGGCCACTGCAGTGGCAGAAATAATGGCTAATTACCCCCAGCAGTTCCATTCCAAACTGCAGGATTTTTCAGACCAACTCTCTGGCTACTATGAAAAATTTGTTGCTGAGTGTACAAGATTGATTGACCTGTCCATTCAAAACTACCATGTATTTCTCAGATACATCACTGAGTTACTGAAAAAGCTGCAGTTGGCCACAGCCAATAATGTGAGCCCCTACGTAAGGTTTGCTCAAGGAGAACTGATGATCACCTTCTGATTTGTCTACTGATGCATTCCAATTAAACCTTCACATAGTGGGAGACTTTGTGGACTACTATAAAAACCATCCCGAGCCAGCCCTGCAGCCAACAGCAAGAGCAAGAAGCACATAGGAACTCCACCTGCAGCCAAGCTGGCACAAGGACCAAGAACTTTGAAGCAGCTAGAACTCAAGATGACATATTCTACAAGTTAGGAAAAAAAATCAAGATCTGAGTTGTTTTATCAAACTCGAGATGGAGAGTGGGAGGGAGGGGAAAACAAATAAATACTTCCTTATTGTGTAGCATACCCCTCAACTTGGTTCATTTGTATTGGAACATACTAGATTGCGAGCAATCTGGCCTTCCTAACCCTGTTTCAGAAAAAAAATAGGGATAATATCTATATAGGATTATTCGTGAAAATTATTTAAATTAATAGGGGTGGGAAAGTTTTTCCATTTTAATGTTGTGTACAACCAAAGGGCTATTGTTATGAGGTGATTGGTTAAGGTACTCTTATGTTAAAGAAAGAAAGGAGGTAGAAGGATCGGTCCTGCTCAGGATCATTCATTCACTACATTCTCTATGGTAGTAAGGTAGATAATCTGTCTACTATTCTTGTCTATCTAGCTGAGTCATCATCTGATGGGTGTCAGCAAATGGCAATGGAGATTGTAAGTAAAAAGGGTTAAGGAACAGAAAGCAGTTGTGGGAAAGGTTGGGATAGACCTTAGTGGGTTACGGACAATGAAAGAGAAAGGTCAATTCAAGAAGAGGAGAATGGGAAAGGATACACGGAAGTGTGGTGTGAACACCGGATTCCCTATTTAGAGAAGACAGGAAGTGTAAAAGGGAGACTGAATTGGAAGGGTCAGCCTGGCAAGATTTCAGAGTACGTGAATGTTGGGATGAAAGGTGGCTTCACCTCTCTGTTGAAGAAGGGCATCCAGTGAGACATTTTGACCAGTGCTTAGAGAACTCAATGTGGTAACATATGCATAACTTACAATGGAATAGATCTGAGATGTGAGGCTGTGCCTGAGTCCCTCTGAAAGGTCGACTTGGGAAGTCATGAATGGTGAGGAGGATTCTAGTAAAAGCAGATATAAATGCAGAACTGAAAGGATCAAGTGACTCGTTGTTCAAAGCAAAGGCAGTGGACTACCTGGTTGGGCCTCAGGGGAAGAGGAGGTACTTAGTCCTGCTGGGACTAGATGTCCCAGGGTTGTGTGGTACCTAAGAGGGTTTCATCTTCTTTGAGGAAAAGAGGTAATGGGGAGGGATTTGCAAGGGCAGGAGTGGGAGGAGAGGAGCAATGGGGACTGGAATGGGGATATAATGTGAATTTAAAAAATATGGAAAAAAAAAAAGAAAGCAGGCTGAGCAAGCCATGAAGAGTAGCCAGTAAGCAACACACCTCTATGGCCTCTGTATCAGCTCTGGACTCTGGGTTCCTGCACTGTTTGAACTCTTACCCTAGCTGCCTTTCATGATAGACTGTAGTATGAAAATATAAATGAAGTAAGTCATTTTCTTCCCAGATTGCCTTTGGTTATAGCATTTCATCACAGCAATAACAACCCTGATTAGGATAATAACTGGATATAAAAGCCCTCAGCAGATACTGGTGCTATGTACTTGAGTTTCCTATCTTTCAGAACCACAAAAAACCTGAGATTTTTCCCGGCATCACTTACCTAGTCTTTCCCCTGCTCTTTGATCTCTCTCACCTTTCCTTCAATTTCTGATCCTGAACTCTAACAACTCTAACTCAGCTTTACTTTTCACTGCCTTTGCCCATCCCCACTTCTCCTCTGAGAGGGTGGCAGCCCACTTGGTTATCCCTCGACACCTGACACATCAAGTCTCTGCAGGGCTAAGAGAATCCTCTCCCACTGAGGCCAGAGAAGTCAGCTCAGTTAGAAGAGTATATTCCACAGACAGGCAACAGCTTTAGGGATAGTTCCCTCTCCTGTTGCAGAGAATTCATATAAAGACTGGGCTGCACATTGGCTACGTGTGTGTGTGAGTCCTAGGTCCAGCCCGTGTATGCTTTTTGGTTGGTGTTTCAGACTCTGAGACCCACAAGGGTCCAGGTTAGTTAACTCTGTTGGTCTTCCTGTGGAGTTCCTATCCCCTTTGGGGCTCTCAGTTCTTCTCCAAACTCTTCCATAAGAGTCTCTGAGCTCCATCCGATATTTGGCTGTGGGTCTTTGCATCAGTTTCAGTCAGTTGATGGGTGGAGCCCCTCAGAAGACAATCATGCTAAGCTCCTGTCTGCAAGCATAACAGAATATTATTAATAGTGTCAGGGATTAGTGCTCACCCATGGGATGGGTCTCAAGTTGGATTGGTTATTGGTTGGCCAACCTCTTCAATCTCTGCTGTATCCCCTGTCCCTGCATTTCTTGTAGACAGGATAAATTTTGGGTCAAAAGTTTTGTGGATGGGTTGGTGTCGTTATTGCTCCACTGGGGCTCCTGCCTGGCTACAGGAAGTGGCCTCTTCAGGTTTCATATCCCCACCATTGTAAGTCTCAACTAAGGTCATCCTCATTAATTCCAGTGAGCCTCCCCACTCCCAGATCTCTGGCACGTTCTAGAGATGCCCCCACCCCACCTCCACCAGATGCAGATTTCTGTTCATTCTCCTGGCCCTCTGACACTCTCTCCTTGTGCTTCTTCACACCTGATCCTGAACTTCCCCATCTCACTCCCCATCCCCTCTCCCACCTAGATCCCTCCTTCCTATGACTATTTTATTTCCCCTTCCAAGTGAGATTCAAGCATCCTCACTTGGGTCTTACTTCTTGATTAGCTTCTTTGGGTCTGTGGACTGTAGTATTTGTTCTTAGCCTTGCAAAAGCTTTTCAGTTTTATGAGGTCCCATTTGGTGTTCTATTCAGCAATTTGTGCCAATGCATTCAAAGCAGTTACCCACTATAGAACCTAGGACCACCAGCCCAAGATGATACCACCCAAAGTGGTCTGGGCTCTCCAACACCAGTTACTAGTTAAGAAAATGTACTACTTTCTTGCCTTCAAATAGATGTTATAGAAGCATCTACTTGATTAAGGTTCCCTCTTCTCAGATGACTCTAGCATGTGTCAAAATGACATAATAACTAGCCAGCACAGTCATAAAACGGCAGAAGGAAAAGCAGAGTCAAGGAAATAGCAAGAGAGGCGGGAGAAGGAAGAGAGGAAAGAAGGAAGGAAGGAAGGAAGGAAGGAAGGAAGGAAGGAAGGAAGGAAGGAAGGAAGGAAGTTGGATAGAATTCCTCTTTTTATAACTAACCAACTCCCTTAATAACAGGATTCATCCATTTTTAAGGTTTGTACCCTTTTCATAATACTGTTAGTTTGGAGATCCAGGACAAGAACTTTAGGGCTACTCTCAAGCCATAGCAATAAGCAAGGCAGACCTCAGAGTTATGACATTTTGAACCCATGTAACCTATAGAAATAGAGCCAGAAAGAGTGTTGATGAGAAGGAGATTACAGGAGCAGGTAACGAGCTCAGAGACTGTCACAGCCATAATGCTCCTATGGAATCATACTGTAGGTTCCAATTTTACTGCTGCACTCAAGTGGAAATTTCCTACTGGGGTAAGATAGAGATGCATGCTGGAGAACAACAGCCAACAGAACGGGGACAACCTAACACTGATCGTACATAGCTTTAGAAAATTAATAAGAAAACACAGTGTTTTCTCATTGTATAATTACATGGCCTATTGTACAGCAAGTGAATCACCTTGTACATTTCCTCAGAACATATTGTGAGGTGATGTGGGAAGTCCTCCTATAATCACAGATTTTCCTCTTATAAAACAAACATCCAAGGTCCAAATCAAAGGAGGAATCAAATAATGGCACCCTGCCCAAGTCCCAGGAACTTTGTTTGCATGACCAAACCTTGTGCTGACTTGACTCCCAGGTCCAGCTGCAGCTCATGGCATTGTACCTAGTGTAAACCCTGTATTGAAAGGATTCATTTGGACTGAGTCCACTGGGTACCTTTGGTGTGATCTCCATTTTCTTTGTCTTGTCATTTGAAGACTGAGCAGATGAACATCTCAAGTCTCCCTTTCTTGGTGAGATGAGTAAAAGCTCCCTCTCACAACCCATTCTAGGGCCCCCTTCTGGTTCTGATTTATGACTTAGTCCCCATTCAGTCAGGGAAGGGGCCAAAACAGTCTTCAAGTGGGGCCTACAATATGGGAGACAGAGTGGACAAACAGATGTTCCCTCTAAAAGTGTCTAATAACCAGAGATAAATGTGCAGAAACAGACCCTTCCTCTTAGCTCATCTCTTTGTATGCTGTCTCACATTAAGAGGTCACCACAACTCCCTTTGGGGTGCTCCATTTGTTGGTGGGATGGCTGGGTGGTCACCAACAAATAACATTCCAGGGCCTCATAAAACATTGGTGGGGCAGGTACATGTGTCTCCTTAGGCTGAGAGCCCTGTTCTTATTCTCCAAACTGGTTCCTGCCTCACTGGATCTGAGAAGAACTTCAGTGGGACTCAAAGCAATGGGCAGTAATCTCTGATCCTGTGTCCATTTCTCTACACTTCTCCACTGGATTGGCACTATCTAGTCCAGTCTTAGAGTAGATGAATCATTCAAGCCTTGGAGATGACCTGGTATCTGAGCTACAGGCCTGTGGCCCCACCTTTGTGAGCTTCAACTAAGTGCATTATCTATAGCAAGCCTCACTCACTGCCCAGGAGCTCCCAGAGTGGAGACACTAAAGCAGACACTGGCCTGAAGGGAGAGCAGCTCTGTAAAGAACCCAGATCCACAAGTATTCCACAATGCTTCCCCCACAAAGGTCCTTTTTGCTTCATGCCTTCTCCTCCAGTAAAGTTTGGTACCCATCTAGAAGGGTACCAAGGTCCTCACAGAGTACTAGATCCCAAGATGGCTTCAGGAGACACAAAGGCCTTGAATAGAATTGGATTTGCTTGAGCAGAACTGCATCACTAGGACATTGGTGTGGTACATTAGATACTTACAGAAGAATCCATAGAGAGAGGGCTCAGTGCCATCCCATAGCTCTGCTGAGCATATAGTAAACAAGAAAAACAAAGACCCAAAAAGCCAGTACACCCCACCACTCCACCACCCCACTTGCTCAAGAAAAAGATCCAGTGACAAATTCAAGTTTCACCTCATCCATGAATTATCTAATTTACTTTTGCTAGGCCCTGGATCATGACAAAATAGATTTCCTGGGAAGTGAGAGTGGTTCCTTTGTTGTTGTTGTTGTTCTTGGGAAGATTGAATTAGATAACAAATGTTGACCCTGGTACCCAGAACAGAGATAAATGGATCATGTCCCAGTGGCGACAGTCAAAATTAATGATGTGTAAATCCAATTACAATGATGCAGATAT